TCAATGAAGTTGGCTTTGATATTTTTAGTACAGATGGTACAATATTATACTGTTTTTTTGCATTTTAAGTGCATATTTTATTGCAATTTTTCGACATTTTTTATGTAAGCACAATTTTTCAATTATTTAATTTAATTTTAGATGCCTGATACAGAAGAAAATTGGTTGAAAATTGCTGATGAATATGAAAAGCAATGGAACTTTCCACATTGCGTGGGTTCAATTGATGGAAAACACGTACAAATACAAGCACCGGCTACAAGTGGTAGTAACTTTTTTAACTATAAATCAACCTTTAGCATTGTTCTGATGGCACTTGTAGACGCTGATTACAATTTTTTGTACGCCGATGTTGGATGTGAAGGTCGTATTTCGGATGGAGGCGTATTTAAAAATACATCTCTGTTTCAAAAACTTGACAAAAATGAACTAAATTTACCTACAGCAAGCGTATTAGAGGGAAGACAAATATTAGTGAATTACGTTTTTGTCACAGATGATGCTTTTCCTTTAAAATATAATATTATGAAGCCATATTCAGGTCTTCAACAAAAAGGATCGAGGGAACGAGCATATAATTATAGATTATCACGGGCAAGACGAGTCGTAGAAAACGTATTTGGAATTTTGTCAGCTATTTTTAGTTTTAAGAAGGCCACTATTATTAGAGCCCGATAAAACAGAGCGTGTAGTAATGACATGCGTTTACTTCCATAATTTTTTGAGAAAAAATAAAACATAAAATATATATATACACCAAATGGAACTTTTGATTCGGAAATAAATGGCCAAATCAGAGAGGGTGCTTGGAGAAACACTGTCAAGGTGACACTAATAGTTTTGTCTCATTTCAAAGAGTTGGGAGGAGATCGGCTAAAAGCGTGGAAGAAATAAGAACGGAATTTGCGGAGTATTTCGTAACAAATGGAAAACTCCAGTGGCAAGACGAATATGAATAATTAATGTTAATCATTAATTTAATAGATAAATTATAATAATAACTATACACAATATTATGTTATTGTAATTGTACCTACTATTTATTAACAGATAATGATAAGTGATAACTTATGATTAATATTTAAAAATGTGAAGTTATGGTTAAAAATTAAAATATATAAGCAATAATAAATTAAACTATTGTAATTATTAATATAAATTATATATTAATATATAATATATAAATACTATATAATAATATGTAATAAAATATATAATATATATTATAAATATATACTATACTATTGTAATTATATGTATTAAACTATTGTAATACTCACATCTTTGGTTGAAGTTGTTTCTGTATTTTTTGTTTTTCTGGGCTTGAACTTATCGTTTAAAAATTGCATAGACTGAAACGCAAACCATTGTGAGTGATACACCTCGTCTTTGCCCATTCCGTATGTAGTACGTTCTCTCTGCCGTTCTCTCCTGAATGAATTTAATAAACTTTCCATTTTTTTTGCGGACATCAACAACTTCGGCATTCATGTCTTTTGCAATGGCACACCATACATCAAATTTTTTTTGTTTAATTTGTACTCAGAATGTGTTGGATTCCATAGTATTGGGTTTTCTTGATATAAATGTATTAGTTGAAAGCATCGTGTATCACTCCAATCCATTTAAAAATTATAAATGAATAAGTACAATTTTTTTAATATTTAAATTCAACAAGACACCAGTTCGAACCAAATGTCAACGAATACTAAAATAGTGACAAATCGTGTCCGAACCGATAACGAATTCCTTTGATGTACCGATTGCCGAGCGAAGGCAACCGAAGGCAAATTCGCCGTTGGCGTTCGTTCGGTCGCGCTGTCCACACCAATACCAATATCTCCGAATAAGGTAAGGTCACATGTGCCTACGATACCCTTGGTCGTCTAGTCTGAACGCGGCTTGAGAAGCACAGCGCGGATTTCCGCGTAAAGGCCGTTTGAATTCAAACTGCCATCGCGTGGGACCGCGTCAGTATGTATTCAACACATCCATTGGAATTCGATGACAATGATCGGTTCCATGTCTCCACGCCGACGGTATCAACGCCGACGGTATCGACGCCGACGGTATCTACGCCGACGGTATCGACGCCGACAGTATCTACGCCGACGGTATCTACGCCGACGGCATCTACGCCGACTAGTATCTACGCCGACGGAAAAAATGCCGATGAGTATCTACGCCGATAGTAAATACGCCGATGGTATTGTTTTTTTACAAAACGAATGTTTTTCTATGGGACTAATATGAAACTGAAAATTATGGAAAATTAATTGTGTTATTAAATAATTAAAAATAAAATACCTAACTCGTGTTACCTAGTTTTTTTTTAATAATAAATATTTTTTGGCTCTGAAAAGAGCCTTTTTATGCCCTAAAAAGGACATTTTTTAAAACGACGAGTGCCCCCTAAGCATGGCCATTTAGCAAGATTGGAATTGAAAATGATGAGCAATTCCCTGCAAATAATCGGAGGTGTCGCGATTCCCATAGTCTTCAACGATTTCTTTAATACGGAATGCTGTGTCTCGATAACACCGTCGTCCCTGTGCTGGTGGTAATCCAGCAATGTACTGGTTGATTTGGAATTCATTTAGGCTCTGCTGATTTTGCAGACCCTCAATGAATTTCCAAATAGATGGATGATTTGCTCTTAAAAGAGAGCTGAATCCTCGATGTCAGCCTTCAACTGCGTTGTTAGTTTTGGGTAGGTCATTCAACGATGCCTCGTAACAATTCCAGAGGCTCAGCTTAAATTTAGGAAGCATTCTGGCAAGGCCGGTTCATCGGGGCTTTCCAATCCACGTGGACTCAAAATAATCTACCAAATCTGACATCAGGTCTTCGTTATCCGTATAAAATTTTGTCCGGAGGAGTCTTTCAAAACAATCAACTACGTCAGGCTCTGGAACAAATGCAAGAGCGGCCAACTTTCGCACGTTCAATGCAAAATCCGGATCATCCTTATCCTCGTATTTGGATCGAATGTCAGCGATTGTCTGAATTTTTCTCCAAATGCATTGACTGAAGTGAAAAAAACAACCTCTGTTCCTGATGTCTGGAAAATTATGGGAAAAAGCATTTATCTGGGCATTTTCAAAATCGGTCATAACACTGACTGGAGACAGCCCTGGTTTAAGCAGCTTCAGTTTATTCAATACACTCGAATACGTATCTTGCCATTTATCCGGCAACAGTGCGTAAACCGTTGGCAGAATGTTATTATACTTAATCGCGTGTATTGTAAAAACTTGCTTAAACAATGGCTGTGACGTTTTAAATGTACCATCAGCGTACCAATGGTCACATGTCTCCATCAAATCCAAATTCTTTTGCGTGCTAAAGATAATAATTTTATTATCTGAAGCACAGCTGTCGAATTGGAGAAATTTATCTCCAGCCACCGTATAAGTGTATTTGTCGGGAATCAGTAAATCATGCATGTTAGTAGGTTTTGTGTATACCACGGACAAAATCAAAGAAGACAAACACATACCCATAACTGTGTTATCGAGACACAGCATTGCGAATTAACGAAATCGTTGAAGACTATGAGAATCGCGACACCTCTGATTATTTGCAGGGAATTGCTCATCATTTTCAATTCCAATCTTGCTAAATGGCTATGCTTAGGGGGCACTCGTCGTTTTAAAAAATGTCCTTTTTAGGGCATAAAAAGGCTCTTTTCAGAGCCAAAAAATATTTATTATTAAAAAAAAACTAGGTAACACGAGTTAGGTATTTTATTTTTAATTATTTAATAACACAATTAATTTTCCATAATTTTCAGTTTCATATTAGTCCCATAGAAAAACATTCGTTTTGTAAAAAAACAATACCATCGGCGTATTTACTATCGGCGTAGATACTCATCGGCATTTTTTCCGTCGGCGTAGATACTAGTCGGCGTAGATGCCGTCGGCGTAGATGCCGTCGGCGTAGATGCCGTCGGCGTAAATGCCGTCGGCGTAGATACCGTCGGCGTAAATGCCGTCGGCGTAGATACCGTCGGCGTCGATACCGTCGGCGTAGATACCGTCGGCGTTGATACCGTCGGCGTAAAGACATGATACCCAATGATCATTGCATACAGAACATGATTCTGAGCATACGTTTCTGTCACTAATATGGTCAGTCAGTCTGGATAATACAATGTTATTATACACCTATTTATAGTGCTATTAGTAATTTATTTTTATTATAGAAGTTCTTGCAGTAAATTTATTTATTTTTTACAATCGAATTCTTAAGAAAAGCACGAAGAATTTGACTTTTAACCACTCCATAGTTCCAAAGACTTAACATATTCTTTGCAATATAGGGAGACTTTTAGACCTGTGATTGAATTCAAATTTCACGAAACCATAACAGTAACCTACTTTGTATTATACTCAATGAAAAGGTGTACTATATAGCAGAGCAAGTTCCTCAATTTTTTTATTTTAGTTATATTCTCTTTTAATGATATGGGCGGTACAGAGGGTATACTTTAGACATTATATATCATAACATATTTAGGCCGGGTTGCATAAACGTTCTGTAACGACTTACAGATCTGTAAGTGCGTTAACGGCTCTGTAAATAAAATTAGGTGTTGCTTGAACGCTTGGTAAAGTTACCGGCTCTGTAAATTATCGGCTACCGGACCTGTAAACTGCAGACAAGATTTTGCATCTGTAACTACTTACAGATCGGTTAAAATAATATAATTGATAAGAAAAACACATTTTATTATCAATAATCAATATTATCAATATTATATTATATTATATTATATTATATTATATTATATTATATTATATTATATTATTATATTTTATTAAACTTTTGAGATTATTAAAAAATACAAGTAATGTGCCTATAATTGTATTTGTATAATGTCGATAGCATATTATGATTCGTGTAGTTCATCCTCTAGTTCGTCCTCTAGTGACGAGGATTTTATAATTGAAGTGTTGCAGGTATTACCGAGACCAAGGTATTTTCGGGACAGAACGAATCCTTTCACTGAGTATGATGATACGGATTTCAAACAGAGTTTCAGGTATATTAAAAATAGTATTTTATGTAAGTAGGTACTTACCAGAGTAACGTTTTTTTATTTTTGAGGTTGTCTAAAATGATGTTCATTGAGTTGCTAAACATGATACAAGATCAACTTCAGCATAATACACACCGGAACATGTCTTTGTCATCAATGCTTCAGCTTCTTATTGCACTTAGGTACTATGCAACTGGTGCTTTTCAAGTAATTTTTTTTCACTTACATTTTTATTAGACCTTTGAAATAAACTGTACATATTATATTATATTTTAGGCAGTTTTAGGGGACCATATATGTATACATAAATCAACAGTTTGCCGTATAGTTAAAAAAGTTTCAACATGTATTGCAACCCTCAAACCGCAATTCATTCAAATGCCTAGAACAGAACTAGAGAGACAATCTATATATTATGAAGGTGTAACGATTACGATATGGTACACACTTACGACGCGCCACCAAACAGCAAACACCAATAACTTATATAGCGATAGCCGGTCAATGTTACCGATAGAGTGCGCCCTCCCGGAATATACAGTTGCGCGACAGTACCTAGGGTATGTGCAGCCGTACGAAACATTACTAATTCTACACATACTGTCGGTTGTCGAGGGAGATATAAGGAAGCCCGGCCGACACAACAAATATCCGATAGTTGAGCTCAACTAGCAACTGTTTAATGCGTCAGCGGTTCTCGGCCACCTTTGGGAAGGCTAGAGCCCCGATTGTATTCGGCCTAGGTTAGTTGAGTTCCCTGTGAGCCAGCGTCGCCAAATAACACGGGACAGAGCCGGCAGAGCTCATTATTTGTGCTGTCGCCGCCACTACCGTCGTCGCGTAATATCAGTCTACCGTCGCCGCCACTACCGTCGTCGCGTAATATCAGTCTACCGTCGCCGCCACTATCGTCGCGTAATATCAGTCTACCGTCGCCGTCACTACCGTCGCCGTCACTACCGTCGCCGTTATTATCAATCTACCGTCGCCGCCACTACTGTCGCTACGAATATCAGTCTACCGTCGCTGCCACTACCGTCGCCGTTATTAGCAATTTACCGCCGCCGTCAAATCCATCAACCGTCGTCGCCGTCGCAGCTCCCGCGCAGCTCCCGCGCACGCTCTCGGCTACCCTTAGTGGGAAAGCTAGAGCGCGCCATCCTACAATACACATACTGGTGGAATACCGTGTCATAGTTAGGCATTAAAGAATATTTCTTATATAGCGTAGAAAAATAAGGTTGCTAAACCGTAAGTAATTAGATATTAGTAATTGTGAACGGGGATATAATACTTTTGAATCCGCGAGTTATATTGTCAAAGACGTAGTACTACCGTGAGAGTATACGTAAAGATCTCAATACATTCTGTTTATATTCTAACTAATCATATGTTTATGTGTTATACTAAAATTATATAATTAATGTGATCAATAAAGATTAACGTAATTACCTATAAAAAACCTTGACATTGTTATTTTTATATATATATATACATATGTGTAAAGGATAAGGTATAAAACCGAACCGTTACAAAGGTTTCAATCAATTGCGTCAATTTCCTAATGTTATTGGTGCAATTGATTGTACCCATATAAGAATACAGTCTCCCAATAGTAATATTGGAGAAAAATTCCGAAACCGAAAAGGATATTTTTCCATAAATGTACAGGCTGTTTGTAACAGTAATTTACAATTTACAAATATTGTGGCTCGGTTAGTAACTTTAATTAAATATACTTACATATAGAAAAATACTTGTCATTTATTAATTATGTACAAATTGTATACATTTTATTCAAATATTAATAGTTGGCCCGGTTCGGTACATGACTCGACCATATTCGATAATTCACTATTAAGAGCACAATTTGAAAACCATGAATTTGGAGATGCTCTACTTCTAGGAGATGGAGGCTATGCATGTAGGAACTATTTGATGACACCTCTTGCTAATCCAATTACCGAAGCAGAAAAACGTTATCAGGTTAGAAAACAAAACGTGTCTCATAAATTACAACCATTATTAGTTGTTCTTCTAATTAAAGCAATACATTTTTAATATTTTTTAGAAAGCTCAAATTGGTACCAGAAATGTTATAGAACGAACATTTGGTGTGTGGAAAAGACGCTTCCCTGTATTATCTGTTGGTGTTCGGACACAAATTCCAACTACTTTGCTCACAATTATCGCCACGGCAGTGTTACATAATATGTTGATTCAAGCTAATGACCCCTTACCTATAGATGACACTCTACTTAATGAAAATTTGCTTCAACAAGTTCCAGTTTACCCTGTTCAACAAACTGGAAATATAGCACGCCGAACATTAATTGAAACTATATTTAATTAAATACAACCACTGTCTTTATAGATGACAATGTGTATGTGATCAAATTGTAATATAGCTCATCTGGCTTTAATTAATTAAATAAATAATTAATAACAAATACTGATTATTTTATTATAACAAAAACATAATTCCTTTTCGAGTATGAATAATAATAAATATAGTATTATAAACATAATTACATTTTGAGTATGATAATAATAAATATAGTATTTAAAAACATAATTCCTTTGGTTTAAATAATAACAATGCTATATATTTAAATAATAAAAAAAAACATAATTCCTTTTTGAGTATGAATAAAATGTAGTAGTATTCTAGAGTATTATAAACATAATTCATTTAGGTTTAAATAATAACAACAGATTCATTAAAAACTAATTTTTTGATAGCTTTTGTTTTTGCAAATTTAAAATGTCTTCTTGTAATTCTATTTGCCTTATTTTTGAATTAAATTCTATTTTTTTTAAGGCAAGTTCAGTCTTAACTATTTCTAGTGTGGTTTCTGCTGTTTCTAGTTCTGTCTTTGCTTTTTTAATTTTTATATTTTGGATATCTAGTGAAAATTTTTGTTGAGCACATACTTTATTAATTTTTTTTTTGGCCAATTCTTGTAGACCATCACATACAGATTTTTGTGAAGAACCTTTTTTAACCGCAGTATCTTTGGTTGTTTTTATTTGATTTGACTGATTTGACTGGTAACTGTTATTTGATGATGTTGATGTTTCAGGTTCTGCATTAAACATAGCTTAAACAAATTATAGGCAAGATAATACATTTATAAATATATAAGATCTTCACATAGGTAAATCCCAGTAGTAAAACATTATAAATCAAATAAATTTACCCCAATTGAATTCACGAGAAGGAGGAAGTGAGTTATCTACTGTGATATCGATTTCTTCAACTCCATCTACAAATTCAACAATTTCCATATCATCTTGTACATTCTGAATACATCTATCAGCGTTCATTGGATCTTAAATGTAAAAAAAAACTCATATAAATTATTTAACAATTTTGGAATTAATACAATAGTATGTATTCATAATTTTTGATTCTGTTTCTGAATTACTACAATCCTTTAATTTTAGATTTTCTGTAAATGATAAAATTACTTTAATACAGCAATATAAATATAACATATTATCATATATTTACTATTCACTAATATTGGCTAATATAGGTCTTTGCTCAGAATCAGAGTCTAACCCACTTGCCCTTCTTAATTTTTATTTGCATTATATAATTTAAATATAAGTTACTCGGACCAACCAGCATAGCCATAATCATCATCATGTGCATTGAATAATGGAGTAATTCGGTCTTCAATTACTGCAATTACTTGCTCACTTATATGGTTCATACTTTTTTTGTATTGTCCTCCACCAGTTTTAAATCTTTCAATCTGTAATCCAAATATAAACATAGTTTTAATACACTTTACATCTAGGTGACTAGGTCAGTAACTTATGCTGCATAGTCTGTTTACAGTAATTTGAGTTAACAGAAATATTAAATTTGTAATAAATGGCAACGTAATTGAAAAACGAAACTTTTACTGAGTGTCAAAAGCGAATAGTTATATTATGAATACTCTGCAGTCTGGTTTACATATTACATATCAGTATATCACCAATTGTTATTTTGAGGGAGATAGGATAATTAATAAAGTAATATTGGGTCTTACTTTATCATTTTTATTTTCTATTTTGGCCGTTTTACTTAAATGTTCAAATAAATATTTGATTTCATCTTATGTTCTTGTACCTGATGTTTGGTGCAAATTAAAAGTTTCAACAATATTTGACCATGCTTCATCCTTTTCAAATAGATGCCCACTGAGCTATGTTAATAAACAAACAATTTTATCAAATATATGAGCTTACTTTTTTTTTTATCTAGTGTCTATATAATTTACAAGACTACATAAAACTTACAATAGATAAACGATGAGTTTTGACTAAGTCCAGAACCATGGACTGTTCCTCATCCGTGAATTGTTTTGTAAGTTTATACATTAACACCTATTTTAAAAACAATGTTTTCTTATAGTTTTAATTTAAACAGTAAATTATATTATAGTTTTATCATAACTATGTATCTGGCACATTTTATAGTTGAACACTACCAAATTTTGTAAGTATTATTTTTTTATAGTTCTCAAACATATTTGGGCGTCTCCGTAAAAATGTTGACTTTTGAAAATAAGGACCACCTTAGTATGTACCTATACATTTTAACTTACTTTATCATCACTCATTGATTTTTTTGCTTGTCTTTTGGCCATGTCATACGCGGTTTTTAATTGTTTGCATGTTCTAATCCCAGTTGTTTGTTGTCTATTGTAATCTGAGACAATAATTTCCCATGTTTTGTTTTTATGTTTTATGTTAAAAGCATCAGTCTAAAACAAATTTGAATAGGTGTAAAATAAATTAATATATCAATATTATAAGTAGGTACCTACATTAATATCATTGTCTTGTTTTGTTAACTAAATTTGTTATACATACCTTTATGTTTTCAATTATGTGTTTGTAGGGTTCAATTAGTTCAACTAGCATTTTTTTTTCTTCATTATTAAAATTTTTTGTTCGTAAATTCTTTTTTACTTCATCTTCAACATATGTATATGACATTTTAAAATAAATTATTGTAGGCAATCAGGGGCTAATGGGCTATGAAATAAGAACAAATATTCGAAATTCAAATATGTTTATGAAATAAATAATAATTTTTATTAATTTAATTACATTTATGAATTATGATAAGGATTTTTTTATTTGGTGTTATCAAAAATAAAGGTTTAATTTATTTGGTAACCACGGTTATCAATAATTTAATATTTCTTTATGCAACACTAGCTATAGTTTACACAATCATTAAAACCTTACAGAGCCGGTAACAAATGTACAGACTGTTCTTTATGCAACCCGGCCTCAGGATGTACATTGGACATATTTATAAGTGCCTATAAATTATAATTATAAAATACAAAACTAAAAAATGTCAACATTTTAAATAGGTACCAAAAAGTGTTTTCTAATTTTACGACTGGTCACTGGTAACCGATAATTAAATTAAAAATTAGCAAAATCTTACTATCACTAATGATCAAGAACAGTTTAAAAACTCTTTAGTAATGTAAATAGTAGACGAGGTAACACATTTTTTATTAATTAGTATTTATATAATTTATATTATGTTTATTAAGCATGGGTAGAAAACCTAAAGTAGAAAGTGCTATCATAGATTGAAATCTTAAGTTTAAAAAATTAAATTATCAGTGAGGATGGAAGAAGTAAGTAAAAATTGGAAAATGCAATTTGTGTGATTAGATAATTGTACTAAATTATTATTGTTGGAAGATATTGCTGGAACTAAAGATCAAGTATGGGATAAAATAGCAAATATTGTCAATAAAAAATATAACAAAGAAATCACTGCAGCATCAATTCGGGTTAGAGTAGCTCTTAATCGTGGAGGAAGTAGGGAAAAGTTAGGATTACTTCCATTAACAGAGATTAGTGAACCTACACAAGAAGAAACAAACAGTAGTATAATTTATATTTTATATAATATTATAATTATAATAATTTTATTATAATTTTTTAATTGAAACAATTATATACATAATTTTTAATTTTCGTCATTTAAGATGATAATTCTCACAATAAAGATTCAACTACTGAAGTGATTACTTTTTCATTAACACTATCGTCTGAAGAATATGCTAGCATAAGTCCTCAGAGTACATTGTACTGCGGAAAGAAACGTACCAGATCTTATGAAGTTTTGACACCATTCCATTAGAGCAACGTGGTTTAGGATCATTGTTTTTTACATACAAAACTTCCTTATTCAATTACTTTTAAAAGGGCTAAAGTAGGACCATCAGCAAATATATATGTGTCCGTTCATGGAAGATGCTCGGAATGTGGGTCAATATTTTATGGTGAAATAAAAGATGTACCATCTGCAAATATTCGGTAATACAATTTTTATCAAAAAATATTTGATTTTAAACGTTTGATTATTTTTATGTAATTACTTATAGAGTTTTAATGAATTGTACTTATACTGGATCTTTCAAGACGAATCACAATAAGAAACGAAAATTAACTGATTCAGAAAAAGAACGATGTTTAGATGCGATGGTAAATCGTCACATAAGTCCATCTGTTTACAGACGAAATGAAGCCAATCGATTGATGGTAGAATGTAAATAATAATTATCAAAATATTTTATACAAATATAGGAAATATGATATAAATAACGTACACACTACACACTTTATACAGATTCTAAGCAGAGCTATGTATACATTGATTTTAAAAGCTATGTTTTTTTTTATCCGTCTACACCACTTGGTGATGGAAATTATCAGCACTCATAAAGGTATGCCCTGGCTCAAAAAAGTATAAATCAATTATATTTGTTGATGTTTCATCAGAATTAATTAAATATATCAAGAAGCTCAAGTTGTGTAAAAAAATGCAAAATATCTGCTAATTATGTCTTCTTTATTTCTTCCAGTGATGGCCTCATGCCAAATACAAGAAACTGTGTTTTGTTCACATTTTTCACCAAGAGGTACAAACCTCTCATGATAAGCTGTCAGTCTACGAACAAATATTACCTTTTTAAAAAAATCTACTCTAGGCAACATAATTATTTTCTGCAAATCAGCAGAGTAATATACTGTATCAGAATCATGAGCTGGTTTTGAAGATTTTTCTGCATGTTGTTGATACAGTGATCTTGAGTTCTTAAAACGAAGAGTGTGTTCTTTTTTGGTTGTACATATTTCACAATTTGATTGCATATTTTCCTCAGTATGGTCGTGTAATTTAAATGATTCACATACTTCACACTCTTCATGGCCGAGGGTTGCGAATGAAATATTTTTTTCTTTCACCTTTAACCTATAGAACTCTTAAGATATTTGAATATTTGGATATTTTTCTATGAAATCTGCGTGCATAAGTGTTATGTTTATGTCAATAGGAAGATATCGTACATTTGGGACATGTTCCCTACGGTAATGTGAGATAGTTGGATGAAAAAGTTCGATATGAGTATTAACTAAATCATGTGTTTCAATACTGTACTCAGAACTTGGTCTATTATATTTGCGTTTATCTGATGGTGGAGTTAATGCACCATCATAATATGTGTTGTGCAAGAAGTCGTAAGGAAAAAACTTTACAAACTTTTGTAACAGTTGAATTATTATCAGTTAAATGATATTCAAACGAATTATATTTTTATTTCAGTCATGTCTTCTTTCTTCTGGTATATTCAGTGTACATTTTTTTTTTACAATTTGCATTGCATGGTAATAGAACTTTATGTTTTAATAGAAGTTTAGTATTTTTTATTAAATTTCTCTCTTTTAAAGAAGTGTTAAATTTTTTTCTTTTTCTTAAGTTAAAACATTTTGTTTTTATAATATAATATTTTGACCGATTCATATATTTTTATTCCGAAAAATTGTGAAATGTATGAACAAGTTAACATTTATGACAATATTGTTCACAGAGAATTTAAGTTTAAAACTATGAAGAATGGTCATAAATGGTGTTTACTTGTTCATACATTCACAATTTTTCGGAATAAAAATATATGAATCGGTCGAAATATTATATTATAAAAACAAAATATTTTAACTTATAATATAAATTATAATATTATAAATTAATTGGCCAGTGTCATATATTATTATGTCGTCAGTTCGTCACCTGTTTCGGCGGAATCAATAAATTCCCGTCGGCCGGCAATCGTCATGATAATAATAAAATTACCATAAAAACCAGTTATACCCGCACCGCGCCGATCATAGTTACGGCGGCTGTAATGAAATTTATTAGAATTGTTTGTTCTTATCGCCATCTACCGAGAGTTATATTGTTCGCCACCGAAAAAACCGTCCAGTGAGCAATCTATAGTATTTATAATCAATGATTCCATGAATGAAAATTGGTATACTACTATTATTTATTAGATACATACTCTTAGGTGTAAGATGACATTTAATTAAATATTTTCAGGTGATACAATGCCACCTCAAATATCAAGTTTAACTCCTCTTAGATAGGCTAAGCATAGGGCAGTTTCATCCTTCATATATCATCAAGATCCTGTAAATGCCTTTGGTATTATAAAGATTATTCATAAATATGATGGTGCCATTAGAAATATAGGATTTGATAAGTTTTATGTACATTTTTGGATAAATCTACAGATAACAACCCATACAGCAAATTTACGATTTTGATATTTATATATCTTGTTTATGTAAATATTAAGATACTTCACTTGGTAATATCTTTATATTATTATAGTAATATTTTAAATCTAATATTCTAGTACTTTTATTTCAGCGATGTCATTCTGATATTGAAATTGAGATATTTCAAAGTATTTATTTATATTATAATAAAGAGATATTACAAATTTAGTATTATAATGATATGCATTTCTTTCATGATATAAAAAATATATTGAAAGTGAGATATTTCAAATTATTTATTTATATTATAACAAAGAGATATTACAAATTTAGTATTATAATGATATGAATTTCTTCATATCTTCATGATATGAGTTATATAATGCAACTGAGATAGGTTTATCAAAGTATTTATTTATATTATGTTATTATAACAAAAATCAGTCTGATCTGGAGACTGGTACTAAATTTGTGATTTCAACCGTCAGTAAATTTGATTTTTTGTTACGGCCGTTTGTAGAAAGTTTACGTTTTATTATATAGAGGATTATAAAAATATAAATTCCCATAAATAACCATTGGGTTTTTACCCTATAATGTTCTACACACTTAAACACTTGCATGTACAATTCGTCGTTACGCCGAGAGCTGATTATCACGGTCCCCTCCAACCACCCTCACCATAATAATAAACGGTTGAACGTTGAAAAACGACTCGTTATTAGTTCGTACGGCATTTTGGTGAGACCGCGCGGCAGCCTGTAATAATTATTAGTTACCTACTGTTTATAAACTTATAGTGTTCTACTAACCTACCCGTGACTGGCGTGACTTCAATACTATTGTAAGTATATACCTTTGTTCAGAACTTGTAAGTATAAAACTAAAATTTTAATTGTGTAAATTAGTTATTAATTAATACTAAAATAACAACATGCATAGACAAAATTTTATGAGTAAATCTACTAAACGGAGGAGATTGTTGGAAGAAATTGCAAATTTAATTACAGACCATTTAACCGAGATTCCCCTAATACTTAACCCTTCAAGTATAAGTATTTCTAATGTGTCGGTTAATGCTAATTCAGACGATAACAATTCTAATTCCGATAATATTGTTAAAAATATAAATCTAGTATCCGAAAACATCTTACATCAAATTGCATTAAATAATGGAATTAATAATTTAGAAAAATCTACCATTGTGTGCGAGTGGGCTGCACACGAAACCGTTTTGAGTGGACTGTATTAAGGAAGGAAAGAAAAATAGAAGTAAGGTAAAGAGGTTGTATACATATATCAAAATAATTTTGTAACTCCAAATACGATGATCATACGAACGGCATTGTATTACGTTTACAGACAAGAATAAAAGGAGGGTTCGAACCACTTAACAATATTAACAATGATAACAAAAATGATGAGTGTAAGTTAAGTACGACCTGATCGACCTGGTATGACACGAACGATGATGTTGAAGGTGATGAGTGATGACTGATGACACTGCTGGCGATGACGATGAAAGTGGTGGACGGCGGTGTCGCGAACCTTGCACGAGCACAGAGCGCGACAGAGACTCACGACGAGCACGCAAAATTAAAATAATGCGACGACGCTGTATTTGAGTGTTCTGCGGTTAGACCGGGAGAACTCGACAGTTTTGGGTACACGGACGCCAAATGTCAGCACATCCAACTGTAAATCGGATGGCACTCAAATACAGAGAACAAAATAATAAAAAATGGAAGGCGTCGGCTGCGGAACAGTACGTTGTAAAAATTGCGCGTCGACGCTGACGGTCGGACCCTTTTACATACACGCACGACGCACACACGATATACGACAACGACGTCGGTGCAACGAACGTCGCGTATACACACGCGAGATAACGCGTCCGTTACCGCTGATACGACCGGCGGCAACGGTTGGTCGCGACAAAAACAGCTGTGTCGGCGACGGCACTGTTTTGCGGCGGCCGTGGAAAACGCACGCACGCGCGTATGTGAGTGTACGCGACGTATTTGTTGTTCTGTACCGAACATTTTCTCCCCACGTTGAAAGACGAAGGACTTTCAAAATGAAGCAGAACTTAAAGACTGGTCTTGTTGAATTTTGCGGTCGACCAAGTGGTAATCTCCCTAACAGTTATACATGCAAAACATCGTAAAAAAAAAAAAAAAAAATACAGTGGTTTTATTAAGACAAGAAGAAATTGAGGAAATGGAAAGGTATGGTTACGGTTCGATAGGCAACCGCACAAGCTTCACAACCGGACGCTTGAAAACACCATCCTGGGTGCGCACAGAGACAACCCGTACGACTTCGTCGGAACCGGGGTGAACGTCGATTATGCGCCCCAAACGCCATTCCGTTGGTGGCCGAGAAGGAGCTTCTACAATTACCAGATCGTTGATTCTCAGGTTCGGAGACTGTTTGAACCATTTGTGACGGGATTGAAGTGTGGACAAATACTCGCGGGACCATCTTTTCCAATACGATTGGTGACATTGTCTGATTAGTTGCCATCGATTGAGCCTGTTGATCCTTGTATCAGTGATATCGGGTTCGGGAAGTGCATGGATGGGCTGTCCGATCAAGAAATGGCCTGGGGTCAACGCACTCAAGTCATGCGGGTCAGACGATGTCGGTGTGATAGGCCTGGAATTGAGTATACCTTCGATGCGAGTGATCAAGGTATAAAATTCTTCGTACGTAAGTACTTGTTGGCCTATGACATGTTTGAGCTGATGCTTGGCGCTCTTAATTCCAGCCTCCCAAATGCCACCAAAGTGTGGTGCGGCCTGAGGATTGAAGTGCCATGTACAAGTTGAGTGCAAAGACAAGCGGTCTTGTGCCTTAGCATCACGAAAGAGAGACTTAAGTTGCCGTGCCGCACCTACGTAATTTGTGCCGCAGTCTGAATACAGGTTGGTTGGAATTCCGCGTCGTGCAATAAAACGATCCAATGCTGCAAGGAAGGCGTCTGTGGTCAAATCGGTGACGACCTCGAGATAAACCGCCTTCACAGACATACATACAAACAATGCCAAGTAAACCTTAACGGCTTGAGCGTTTCGTCGGCGATGCTCCCTCACGAGAAATGGACCACCATAATCCATTCCAACGTGGGAAAATGGTCGATGAGGCTGGACACGAAAGGGTGGCAAATCAGCCATGGTTGGCTGGGGCCGGACGGCCTTGTGGCGTGTGCAAGGGACACAGGAAAAAATGACACGTCGTACAGCGGCACGACTGGACAAAATCCAAAATTTTTGGCTCAACATTGATATGATTAACTTCGGCCCACCGTGAAGAAAGGATAAGTGATAGTGTCTGATCAACAAGTCCGTGAGATGTGATGATCGAGGCAGAAGAATCTGGTGCTTCGCCTCCTGATGGACGTATGAGAATCGTAGGCGACCTCCAACACGTAGGACTCCGTTAACATCGGTGTAGGGCGCCAGTTGCGCCAAGGAGGATGGTGTAACGGCAGACTTGGTTCTTAACATATTTGACAAATCCGAGAAGTAGTGTTGTTGAGTCCGTTGTACGACGACACGTAATGCTGCTTCGCGTTCCGCGAATGTCAATGGTCCGACGTTGACAAACTGGTGACGGAGACGACGCAAAAATCGGAGAACAAATGACAAAACTCGTTGCAGTTTGCTGAGTGAAGAAAAACGACTGAACAATTCCAGCGATGGTGATTGAACATTCACGGTTAACATTGTGGTGATATTAGGTCTAGTTTCGGGCAACTGATCCGGACTTAGTGGAGAGAGTTTAGACTTTGGCCACTGTTCTTCCGGAAGCTGTAAAAAATCGGGACCGTCCCAGTAGATTCTTGATGCCACGGTCGCTCGTGGCAAAAGGCCGCGAGAGGCAGGATCCGCCGGATTGTCAGTTGTCGATACATGATTCCATTCACAATCAGGTATAAGCCGGTGGATTTTCGCGACTCTATTGGTAATAAAGATCTTGAAATATTTCTGATCTGATGTCAGCCACGACAACACAATAGATGAATCTGACCACGCTCGGATGCGAGATAAGGATATTTCAGACGAAAGGACGTAGTGGGTGTGTTGAAGCGTCTGTGCCAGTAGTAACGCACCACATAACTCCAAACGCGGTATGGACAACGCTTCGGTGGTAGTCGTGATCCTAAGAGGGGCAACTTTAGTTTTGCAAGTGACCAATTTGACAGACACATCTCCATCTGCATTGACAATTCGTAGGTAAATGGTCGCTGCATAACCTTTAGTAGAAGCATCTGCAAAACCCAACAATTGAATGTCTTGCTGAGATGTCACCGGAAAATGACGAGGAAGAATTAAGTCGAAGACAGCTGGCAGTTCCAAACAAAATTGCCGCCACGTGGACCATAACTCTTCTGGCATTGGATCGTCCCACCCGAGTTTATTGCCCCACAGTGATTGCATAAAGTACTTTGCCCACAATAGCAACGGGCCCAAAGCGCCGATGGGGTCGAACAAACGTGCAATGATTGACAGAACTTGCCGTTTGGTAGACGAGGCTTGAGGGATGCTGGTATGGTAGGCGAAATTGTCATTAGTGGTGTCCCAATGTAACCCAAGAACTTTCACCGAATGTTCGTCCCGTGGGTCAAATGATACGGAATTCGCACGATGGTCAGGACTGATGGACCCTAAGACGAGAGCACTATTACTGGTCCATTTGCTCAGTTCACAAGCCCCGTTGTGGAGCAAACTGACGATTGCCTCTTTTCGACGTAGAAGTTGCTCCTCCGTGTCGGCACCGACAACTATGTCGTCAACATAAGTTGATCGATTGAGAACACCTTTTGCCAAGGGGAAGAGATGACCGTCCTGCTCATCAAGTTCGTGTAAGCAACGAATGGCCAGATATGGAGCGCAATTAAGGCCATATGTAATGGTACATAACTGGTATTCCTGAAGATTATCACTGGGTGAATCGCGCCAAAATATATGTTGAAAGACGCGATCTTCGGAATGGATTAAAATTTGCCGGTACATTTTAACAATGTCGGCGGTCAAAATGAATCTGTGCAACCGACTACGTAGTAAAATGTCACGTAAGTCCACCTGTAGTTTGGGACCAGTGCATAGAACGTCGTTTAAGGAACGACCAGACGAAGAAACAGACGAGGCATCGAAAACCACTCGTATTTTTGACATGTCACAGTCCGTCTTGAGTACGGCGTGATGAGGTATAAAATATTTGCCGGGTTCGGGAGCTAACACCATGTGACCTAACTTTAAATATGTGGACATAAACTGCCGATAAGCGGCATACAACTCCACGTCCTTCGCCAACCTTCTTTCCAGGTTGTGAAAACGCTTTAACGCGACGGACCGAGACTCACCAAGGCCGTGAGGTGACGAAGTTTGAAACTGGACAGAATTGGTAAACAAATCGTGAAACGGTAAGGCGACGCAAAATCGGCCTGACGAATCACGTGACGTAGAATTTTTAAAAAACGTTTCACACCATTGGTCTTCAGTGGTGGGTGATACAGAGGCGGCAGGTTCTTCGATTTCCCAAAAACGTGACAGTTGATCATCGATCGACTGATCGACAGCGGTTGTAAGAGCGACTAACGGCGTGGTATTTGATGTAGAAAGGGATCCAAAGATTATCCAACCAATTTTGGTGTCCAGAGCTGATGGAAAGCCTGCAAAATGTTCAACGCCAGCCTGTGAACGAATGAGGTTAGGAAAGACATCCGCCCCAAAGAGAACATCGATTCGCGCTGGGACGTCGAAGTGCTTATCAGCAAGTAAAAGATGTCGATACCGATGACGTACGTTAGAGGGCAAATGTGCGGACGGCATGGCCGCCGTAATGTGTGGTAAAACAACCAAATCTACTGTGGGAAACACGTATTTTGAATCAAAATGTGAAGTGAATTGACATTTAGTGACACCTTGAATTTGAGTTACAGGGCTTTGACCGAGTCCAACAATGTTGGACTGGAAACGATTTCGGGGTAACCCAAGTCGAGCTGAGCAATTGTTTGTTATGGCTGAAAGTTGAGAGCCACTGTCTAAAAGTGCACGAACTGCATGAGTTTGCCCCCATGCATCCTTAATGTGAACGACGGCGGTGCCTAGTACAACAGTAGAATTAGTACGAGCTGCACCCACAAATGAAGTAGAATTTCCGTTTTCCGATGTTGACGGGGTCTCCGTAGTCGATGATTTGTAAGAAGTAAGATGTAGTAACGAATGATGTTGTTTACTGCTACACGAACGACAGGCACCTTTTGACGAGCAGTCCTTAACCATATGTGTCGGATTGAGGCATGCGAAACATAATTTTTGCTTAACAACAATATCGCGGCGTTTTTCGACAGATAACTCGTTAAATTTCGGGCATTGATATATGTTGTGATCGGCGTGATCACAAAACACACAGTTTCTCGAAACGAATTTAATCGAGGACTTGTTTGGCGAAGACGTAGTCACAGCAAGGACGGATTTTGTTGAAGTGGTTGATTTCCCACGAATGGGCGCCTTTTCGCGCCATTTATCGACGTGATCAATTTTATTCTCGATTTTATTGCTCAGCTTAAGATTTTCTAAAATCTTACAACGCTGTTGAACAAAGTCCAATAGTTCACCAAATTCGGGAATTGTCGATTGAGATATACTAGACTCGAATAGGCGTAGTGTGGTTGGATCGAGCACACGCGATCCCATATGAAATAGTAAAAACCCGGCCAGATCATCGACGCCGATGGATTTGATAATGGATACATTTTCTTTGAAAGTGTTTACAAATTCCATTAGCGCGGGTAACGATTCTTGAACTATCGGCTTAAAAGCGAACAGTTTGTCCAGATGTGCCGATGCTAATAATCGCTTATTGTCGAAACGATCCGACTGCGCTCCCCACGCAATGGCATAATTTGCCGCAGTGAGGGGCACGGATTTAATAACTGACAACGCAGAACCAGACAAACGCGAAATTAAATAATGGAAACGTTCCGCGTCATCAATGCTCTCATTATTGTGTACGAGAGATATGTATATGTCACGGAAAGATCGCCATTCTAATATCGAACCATCAAATGAAGGTAATTCTATTTTTGGTAATTGTATGCGCGACTGCATGCGCGCGGTATTAACACCGGTTGGTTCTGAACGCACAGAAGGTTCGACGAGAACGTCGTCAGAAATCGCCATAATCAGATAATAGTTTTCCGACAGCTTGTTCCCAATAGGTACATGAACTGAGTTATACTCTTCCTCGCGTTGGAGTTGAATTAAAATATCGAGAATAGAGTCTTGCTCAAGCGAACATTGAGTGCGCAAACCACCAATGTCTTTTTTCCTAGCTCGAAACAACGGGAGGACCTCCTTATCTGTTCCAACTTTATGCGCCAAATCACATAACAATTGGACTTGTGACACTAACATATCGCGTTTAGCGATTGTACGCTTAAGCAGCCGCTCTGCGCGTTCAATTTCGCCGGCAGAAAGAGGCATTGTAGAAAGTATAACCGTACGTGAACGTTTTCGATCAACGACGGACGCCCGATCTCAATTCACAGGCGCACGCACTTACAACGGTACGATTAATTATAAGATATCGACGGTCAAACGATAACAACAATAAACAATAAACAATTCGAATCCGGATCGATTGGACCAAAATGTGTGCGAGTGGGCTGCACACGAAACCGTTTTGAGTGGACTGTATTAAGGAAGGAAAGAAAAATAGAAGTAAGGTAAAGAGGTTGTATACATATATCAAAATAATTTTGTAACTCCAAATACGATGATCATACGAACGGCATTGTATTACGTTTACAGACAAGAATAAAAGGAGGGTTCGAACCACTTAACAATATTAACAATGATAACAAAAATGATGAGTGTAAGTTAAGTACGACCTGATCGACCTGGTATGACACGAACGATGATGTTGAAGGTGATGAGTGATGACTGATGACACTGCTGGCGATGACGATGAAAGTGGTGGACGGCGGTGTCGCGAACCTTGCACGAGCACAGAGCGCGACAGAGACTCACGACGAGCACGCAAAATTAAAATAATGCGACGACGCTGTATTTGAGTGTTCTGCGGTTAGACCGGGAGAACTCGACAGTTTTGGGTACACGGACGCCAAATGTCAGCACATCCAACTGTAAATCGGATGGCACTCAAATACAGAGAACAAAATAATAAAAAATGGAAGGCGTCGGCTGCGGAACAGTACGTTGTAAAAATTGCGCGTCGACGCTGACGGTCGGACCCTTTTACATACACGCACGACGCACACACGATATACGACAACGACGTCGGTGCAACGAACGTCGCGTATACACACGCGAGATAACGCGTCCGTTACCGCTGATACGACCGGCGGCAACGGTTGGTCGCGACAAAAACAGCTGTGTCGGCGACGGCACTGTTTTGCGGCGGCCGTGGAAAACGCACGCACGCGCGTATGTGAGTGTACGCGACGTATTTGTTGTTCTGTACCGAACAACCATAGATAATTCAAATTATGAATACAGTATTGATGATAGAGGTGAAACATTTGAAAACTGTCAACAGTTTGATGTGAAGAGTGAATTAAGTAAATGGGCAGTTGAGTATGCTGTACCTAATAATACACTATCAGGTTTATTAAAAATTTTAAAAAAACATGATTGTTTTAGTAATTTTCCAGTGATGCTAGGACTATTCATCAAATTAATTCTAATACTCCATATAGTCAATCCGTACAAATAAAACCTGTGTCGCCTGGTGTATACTATCATTTTGGATTAGTAAATAATATATAGATACATTTTTTTCTGATAAAACCATCAAGTTAGTAATAGGTGTTGATGGTCTGCCCTTGGCTAAAAGTTCAGGTAGTGCATTTTGGCCAATTTTAGGGTATATTAGACAACTCAATCAAACTGTGTTTCCTATAGGAATTTATTGGGGTCATGAAAAGCCAGGGGACAGTAATATTTTCATGAATGATTTTATAGAAGAAGTTAGTGATCTCATTTCAAATGGAATTACTATTGAGTTATTTGATAAAAATAAACAACTAATTAATTTTAAAAAAAATGTCATTATTGATGCATTTTGTTGTGATGTTCCCGCAAAGGCATTTTTATTAAAAACAAAGGGCCACACTGGTTTTTATTCTTGTTCCAGATGATCAGTACAAAGTTCTCGTTTACTTCGACGTGTTTGTTTTCCAGATCTAGATTGTTCTAAAAGATCACACCAAGATTTTTTTAAAAAAAATCAAGAACAATATCATACTCCTGGTCATAGTACTAGTATAGTGAATATTCCTGGTATTGATGTTGTTCAACATTTTTCTATTGATTATATGCATTGTGTTCTTTTGGGAGTTATGAAAAAAATGCTTACACTATGGAAAGGTAGTGGTGAAATTGGTAGAGTAGGTGTTAATCAACAAAAATTACCTTCTGAGTTGGTTAAAAACATAAGTACTCGTCTAATATCATTAAAAAAATATATACCTTCTGATTTTAGTAGAAAACCTCGAAGTTTAGATGAGTTATGTCGTTGGAAAGCGACTGAACTACGGCAATTTTTACTATACACAGGGCCAGTAGTGCTTTATTCACTTGTGTCTAAAAAAATTTATTGCAATTTTCTTAACTTAAATAGCGCTATTACTATATTTTTAAGTCCTAATTTCAACCACCTTGCACCATATGCTCAGGTTTTAATGGTAAATTTTGTTACAGAGTTTGGTAACTTGTATGGTAATCATTTTATATCAAGCAATGTGCACTCTTTAATTCACTTATACGACGATTATAAAAAATATGGTTCTCTAGATCAGGTCAGTTGCTTTAAATTTGAGAATTATATGAGTAAATTGAAAAAAAAAGGTAAGGAAAAATGAAAAGCTCCAACAAGTAGTAAAAAGATATAGGGAACAATGTAACCTCGAATTTGATGATGAAACCAAACATAATTTTAATAATGAATATGTTAAACCAAAGTTTGAAAAATTACACACCGAAGGTCCTTTAATTAGAGAGATGGCTTCGCCACAGTATAAAATATTAGTTTTGGAAAACATAAAAATAAAAATTCATTCTGATCCTGATTCATTTGCTAGTGTGAACATCAATGGAGAAACTAATATAATTAAGATAGTTAATATTTGTTATAATACACACTTGAAAAAAGAAGTAATATTAGGTAGAAAATTTGAAACTGTAGAATGTTTCTTTCAAAAACCAATAAAAAGTTCAGACATAGGAGTTTATAAAATTAGTAATTATTCCAAAAAAATAGAAATGTGGAATATTTGTGATATAAAAGTTAAATATGCTGTGTTGCCTATTGATGAAAATATGTCAGTAGCTACACCAATTATTCATTTTAATAATTAAATAATATAATAATTAATGGGAAAGCCAAGTAATGTATCCCACAAAAAATTTTATTTTTTGTACTATAGTTTTATTCATGTTCCATTTTTTTTTGTTCAAATTTTCATCAAAAAATTATTTAAGAGTTACATGTAGATGTTATGTTGCTTGTTATAATATATTTCCTCTGGAGTTTGGGTCGTATTACTTGGCGTTTCTTCTATCTACTTAAGAATATTTGTACATAGTTAATACTTATCTATAATATTTCAATTTGTTTCAATTTTCAATGTAGTTTAAGGTGTATAATAATATATAGTATCTCATATTAGAGAAAAATGTGGGCAATAGTTCATTTCTTGGACGACAATAGTGTGGAAAGTGTTCCTGAGCATTGGATTGAAAATGACCAATGTGCCTGGCCCAAAAACAGTCACAACATACATAAATTAAGAATCAACTGTGTCAAAACAAATCAATTTGAGTTTAACTTTTATCGTGTAAGAGTTCTTTCAAACAACATTATTAAGTATTTTGTATAATTAATAAGTACTAATAAAAAGAAATATCACTTTATTTACAATACCTATATAAATCCTATTTGTAAGCAGTAGACAGAAACTGTGAATCTGTGTAGTTTACCTATATTCTATACAGTTCTTAATTTAATGTTTAATGATATCTATGACTCGTTTACAGAAACATTAATAGAAGCAGAAGAAAAAGTTCTTACAGCTCAGTACACATCAGACATATCTGATTATGGTTCTTCAAAAAAACGCAAAAGCAACGATGGTACAGTTGAGACAATAAGTTTAACTCCTGAAACTCGTATGTTATTTTTGTGTTTAAATATGTTTTTATTCTGTGTTATTAATTTTGATTTAAAAATAATAAATAAATAAACTAATTTAAGTATTAAATTTTAATAGTTCCTTCTTTTATAAGTATTAAAAAGTCCAAAATTAGTCCTGGTTATAATGCAAACACAAAATTCAAGACAAAAATCAATAATAAGAAAGCGATGTCAAAGGTACAACCCTGCAGGATTCAACCATCATTGCCAGATTCGGATGACAATATGTCCTGTAAGCATTTTACTATATTGTTATACCTATAACTAAATCTATAGTATATACATACTTATAATACTATACCTATTAATAACAGTATTTTGTATATCACTTATTGTTTATTTTATTTTTTGTTTATAGTAAGTAATTCAGTTGACTACGACTCTGACAAGGATAATGAATACATTCCAGAGATTAAAAATAAAACAAAATTATCTTATGTTGACATTGATGAAGAAATAGTAACAATTGACAGTTTGAATACACCAGAGGTTAATAATAAGTCAATTAAAAATAATGAATCACATATGGTTGAAAATGGTATTGGAAAAGGTGTGTATAGCTGATTACATGTAATGATTTTTTTTCTGTATAGTTGTATACATACATTTTTTTTTTTAAATTTTAATGAATTAACAAAAATAATTATGATTAAGTGACTTGATAAAAAATGAAACTGTATATTTAACATTATATTTTTCAGTTGTACAAAAAACTATTCTCAACTACTTGGCATACTTGAAAGTTGAAATCACTAAAATATCCGACACTCAACAGGAAATTATTCAATTGATCAACAATTCAAACTCTATAACTACTACTTATAATTCATGGGCAGGGGAAATAGACTATTTTATGACTGCTTGGCCAGTATCAAACCACAAAGAACTGAATGATTTTGAAATACAACTACAAGCTAATGAACAAGATTTTAAAAACAAAGTTGTAAGTAAATTTATATCATACTAAAGGTTAATTCTATCCATAACTCATTCCAAAAACTATTTTCTTTTTTTCTTTTTCTTTTTTATTTTTTAAAAAAATATATAACTATTATTATACTTTCAATATATATTTTTTAATTTTTTAATAAAAACATGCATTTTTTAATTCTTTAATTCTTCTAAAGATGGTATCATACAAACGTAGAACATAGCAAAATATGCACTTCCGCGGGACAACTTTTCTCCCTCAGTATTCATAATAGAACTATCAGAATTTCACAAAGCATGATGGGCAAGAACTTTATCTATGTCATAGCGTCGTTATTTTTTTAATAACATAAATATAATTACATTTATTTTTTATTTGTTCATTTGATTTCTTAATATTATTGGTTTGTGCCATCAAAAAAAATAACGACGCTATGATAGATAAAGGTCTTACCTATGCGTTGTGAAATTCTGATAATTTTATTATAAATACTGGGGGAGAAAAGCTGTTCCTCGCAAGTGCATATTTGCTATGTTCTGCGTTTGTAAGACGGAGACAACGCATGTGACATCCTCTTAATGCTTTATTCTAATAATAAATATGAAGATTCTAATACTTTTTTTAGTATAAATCAAATTTTGTTCATAAGTTAATATTTTCTAAATTATAGAGTATTTTACCCGGTAAAATTTTTACTAAAAATGTAAATACAATTGTATGCATATGTTAACTTTATGTTTTAATGTAATAATGTAGAAACTTGAGTTGCTCAGAACCGGAGGAAAATCTGCTAAACATATGATCCAAAAAATAATGAAAAAAGTGTTTTCTGACTTTGTATTAAAAGATTTCACATATTTTGGATTGAGAAATAAATATAATTTTTCTACATTATTGATCAAAAAAGTTATTTTTGGTAATAATACTATTGAAATTATTAATTCTAAATAATAATATTATAATAATTTATTTTAGATGCTATAGAGCAATCAAAATTCAAAATCATAAAAGATGATGAAATAATATCAATCATTGGAAAATGGTTAACAACAGCTAAAGCCAGAATTGAAAATAAAAAACAAGCAAAAGATGCCAGTAACTCCTTACAAACAGAAGAAATACTATTATTATGTTCATGATTTTCCTAACAGTTAGAATATTATAAATCCAAATCACACTTATTACTTCTTATTTATTGTAATAATTATTTTTAACTTCTTGTTCCCTATTTATGATTCTTGTTTAAAAACAAGTTAATAATGTTAATGTATATATATATATATATTATATATATGTACTAATTGAGTTTATGTTTTTATAATACATACATTAAATTTATAATTAAAAAATATATATATTATTAGGTACCATATTAAAATAAAATTAAAAGAAATATTTATTAAACATAAATAAATTGATGTTAGATAAATATTTGAACATTATTCTAATTATAAATTATATTTTACAAATATGATATTCACAAAATAAAAAGAATTTAATATTTCTTTGATATTACCATTTAATTATTGAAAATATATCTTGTTTAGAATATTATTGAAATATTTCAAAATAGATATCTTGATAAATATATCATTTGGATATTTTATGTTATTTATGTGACAAATTTTACAATTATTTTAGAATGAGTGTGAAGTCATTTGATGAACTGGCTGCAAGATTAATCGACAAAATTAAAAAGAATGATACTTATGTGAGAAAAGTTATACCATCTTGAAATTCTTGTTGTGACTGTGAGGTGAGTGAATTTGAAACACATATTGTCCTTTATTTTATTTTAGATTCTGAGTAATGAGTGTATATTAATTAATATTTAACTAGGTACTATGTTTTAACGTTTATCCTACACAATGGGTCAATGTAACAATTGTACACTATACTCATATTTAATATATATAAAATAATATTTGAAAATACAAATTATTATTTCTTAAAGGATATTGTATTCAAAAAATTATTCAAAAAAAATAAACGTAATAATATACTGTTTTTAATAAGAATATATTCATTAAAACTGTTATTGCAACTTCAGCTTCGTTAACACTTGATGATGATGTAAGTGGAGGTGACACACTGTATTGCGATGCATTGTTGGAGTCGACGTCCTGTGAAGGTGGAGAACGCACATGGTTTTCGGTTTTCGGTTGTCATATGTTTAGTCGAACATGATTTACACATTCGAGTTCCAGATGACTGTCGAATATTTCGTAGCTTTTGATTTGAATATGCCGGAATGGAAGCAGTATTATGAGTACTTAAAATCTGCAACGGGTTTTCTGTGGTATTCGAAGTTTGTGGTGGAATAAGTTGATTGGTACTGGCAGGTTTGAAGGAAGTACTAAGCTGCGATGAAGGGTAATACGATTCATGTAATTGAAGATGGTTTTGGTGAGGAGGTGGAAATGTTTGATTATTGGTTGTTGCAATCCCAGTTGGTAATTGGCTTGATTGAATTGAAGTTAGTGTGCTTTTTGGCGGTGGCTGATGTGGATATATTATATTATGTGTGCCGGGATGAGGAGGATATCCCATATAATTAAAATTGAGTGGATTTGCTGTTGGGATTGGCCTTTGCCGTGCCTTTTGGATCCTCTTTATGATAGACAAGACTTCCATTCTAAAGTCTATTACTTCCTCTTCTGTGAAACCATTTAATATCGGGACAAGGCTTTCAAAAAATGACTGATTTGGATTAGCTTGTATTTCTTTAGTTGTAGGAGAAGGGTATAGGCGCGTTCATAAAAGCTAATAGACTTGATTCCAAGTCATGTTTGCGCAGGCGCTTATGGCTGACACTGTTATAAGGAGTTGAATTATTCTGAAGCCATTCTAATTCTGTTTCTGTGGTTAATTCCTCACTATCTTCATCATTCATAAGCTGTTCGGAATTCAGACTAGATTCAGTTCCAGGAACGAGGCATGTTTGTCGTAGAAATGATAACTGCCTTGCATATAAATATTGTCGCCCTTTGTTAAAACCTAATCCAGACTTAGGTTTTTTTAAAGTTTTTAAATATGTATCTTTAATATTTCTCCATTTCTTTACAGATGTCTAATGCATTGTCTAGAATAAAATGATAAATAAAAATTAACTTGAAAATGTATAGGAAATAAAAATGAATTCATTAAATATTTTATTTAGAATTAATACACTATTGATTTTCAATTTATATATTTTGTTAATAAATAACCCAAAAAGTATAAATTATAGTAAGTATTAATTTATAAATATATACTTAGGAAGTGGCTGTGACCAAAAAGACCTACATTTTACATACAGATTGGAACATTCAACCATTGGATACATTATTAGAAGAGTTTGCACAGCTATTTAGGAAACTTTAAAAGAAGAATGTTTCCTCGAACTGGCACAAAAACATTGGAAAAAACTAGCTGATTGTTTTTATCAGAGAACCCAATTTCTGAATTGTATAGGCGCGATTGGCGGGAAACACGTCAGAATAATCAAACCGAAATTGAGTGGATCGCTGTTTCACAATTATAACAATTATTATTCGATTGTGTTACTAGCTATTGCTGACGCGGACTGCAAATTTGTATATTTTGACGTTGGTTCTTTCGGAAAAGACGCCGACAGCACTATATTTAAAAGAACTGAATTTTTTAAAAAACTAGAAAATAATGAAATGAATATTCCGACTAGTCAACCTCTTCCAAGAACTGAAAATCTAAGCCTTCCTTATATTTTTGACGAAGCGTTTTCCATTTCTCAACACATTATGCGGCCCTACAGTGGAAAAATATTGTCAGAAGAAAAAAGAATTTTTAATTATAGATTGTCCCGTGCTCGCCGAAATGTAGAAAGTACATTTGGTATACTTTCAAACAAATGGAAAATTTTCCATAGACCCATTAACGGAAGTTTAGATTTAGCTAAACTTACTATAAACATGTTGCAGTATATATAACTATGTGGGGACTATAGATGGATTTCACATTGAAGACGCCATGAGTGTAGAGTTTGCACATAATGAGGGAATCAGAACAGCAACTACTAGACCTACTCTGCAATCAACGAATATTCGCAACTTGTTTACTAATTATTTTGTATATGATGTTGGTAGCGTCTTTTAGAAGAGAGAGTATATTTAATAATTTAATTACACATGATAAAAAAAATTCAAAATTAGATTAAAGGTGCCTTTACACGTAGAATCTTTCCTTCACTCCTGGAACGTACGGGTTTGAGCGAGGACTTGACTGCGCGCAATCCTCTCTAGTCAAATTGCTGTAAAATTCTTTCCCGCGCGCTTTCCTTCTTTCCATTCGTTCTTCGTTCAAAAACGTTTGTCTAAAGTGTATTCCCGACGTTTTGAAAGCGTGAAAGCGTGGCGCGTGGAGTGTTCGAAATTCCATTAGTTTTGGAGTCACGTGGAAGTTTTTTAAAGAGTAAAAAGCTAAATATTTTTTTTTTAATGATGAAAATTCGAGAAAACAATCGTATTCGTACTATTGCGTTTGTTGGATTGTTTTCAATAATGGATCAAAATGGATCAAAATTGAAACGAGTTCTCCAGGACCGGATTAAGAGTTTACCCGGCCTGGAGCCTAGTATTCCAAAGGGCCCTTAGTCCCTACAATATTTATTACCAATAACTGAATTTTATTTATTTAAAAAAATGATACAAGGTAATTGATTGCACAGAAATATCTTTGAAATTTTTTATTATTTGTCAATTTTCATTAAGTACATGCTATTATACAATATTATTAATTAAATGACAAAATATAAAAACATACAAATTAAAGTATATTATTTTATATTTTAAAACTAACTTTACTATCTTATTTTCTCTTCTTTTTTTGAAACTCTACAATAATTTCGTCGGTATTTATTTCTTTTAGGAAAGATCTCTCTATGGTCATTAATGCTAAAGCATTCAAGCGTGGATTTTTCATGGTAGACCTCAATTCGTTCTTCACTCTTTTTAAATTTGAAAAGGCTCTTTCTGCACTACAGTTGGCAACTGGAAGACATAAATACAATCTGTATGCTACTTCCACATTAGGAAAAACTGAATTGAGTTTATTTTCATGTATAATATGAAGACATTTTAGTGCTGATGGCATTTTATATTTTCCTTCTTCGTCCTGTTCATCTACCAATTTAGAAAAATGTATCATTTCTTTAGGAAAAATTTCACAATCAAGGTCATCCGGATATATTTTACCGAGATGTTTTGCCATGTCCGCGATTTCCTTCTCAGTCATTGATTTAAAATAAGTAAGAAAGCCAAACTTTTTATTTAAATCGGTATTGTTGCGCCGTCCCGCACCTACTTTTATCTTTCGCGGTTTGCGGCAACGACTAGCGGGATGCTGTGGAGGGGAAGAGGTTACCCACAGTAATTGAAAATATAAATCTTACAGTACGGAAACACTTGTATTAATTACAACAATCATAATATGACAAATAAATAATAAATAGCGGGCGCCCAAAAGTTATCAACTTAAAACTATAAATGTAATGTAAATACAAAAAAACGGTATATGCCGCCATACAAATGTAAGAGCTGGGAAACAATAATTTCTTTTATACAGCCCTCTGCCCACGTGGGGACTAAAACAGATGATAGCCCTGACTTAGCGACCGTTGGCTTGGCGATGCTCCTGGTAGACGACCAATGGGGTCTCTTGCTGGAACTGCGACGGCGGACAATATTTTTGGGCTTGTCGATAGACGGTGACACATCGTAATTCGTATATCGGCGCGAGTAGCACGTGATTCGGTACCGGGCACGAGGAGCGGCGAACACGAACACCAATGTGCTTAAGTGAAACGGTAATTAACAACCACTCGCGATCACGCGGAGTGTAAAAACGAAAGCGTAAAAATGATGTATCGCTCAGTGTCTGACGTCGAACACGACGGAACCAACGGACAAACAGGTGTGTTCACACACGACTTTAACTTAACCCAAACGTACCGGGCGCATATAACGACAACGAAACGCGAAACTTAAACTTGGCCTTAAATACGAAATGTGGTCGCTGATCACAGCTGGGCCTACCACCACGTGATCACACAGAGGTCTCGGGACACGCACGACGCGGAGAACGAAAGCGCATACGTCGCGCTGCGTTCAACCGCTGGACAAAGACAAAGACGCCGGCAGCCAGCGAGCAGCTACAGCATGCAAGCTCGGGCTGGACACGACAGAGGGGGGATAGGCCGCCTCGAGAACAGTCTATGCTGTCAAAGACTCAATTGTGGGTGCCTATGACAGTTGGCGGTAAGTTCAAACTGCGTCCGTGCTCGAACAGGTATATTGTTCAATTCTTTTTACCAGGCATATATCTAATTTATCCATTATCATTATAAATGTTTCTACTCTAAACTTGTCCTGTCCAGATAAATTTGTCTCTTTTTCAATTCAAATCATTTCATCTGGAGTTAACTTACGAATAACTTTTCTTTTTTTTTCATTATTATACTGTTTAGAAACGAATTTAGAAAGAGATAATGCCATTTTTTCTATATCATCAAAATTGTTTCTTATTGAACCAACATACTCCCGTAAAGATTTTAAAAGCTTAACAGCGACTGATAAATCAAGTGATTTCTCTTGTAATTTAACGCTAGTTTAATCAAATCTTTCTAAAACTCTGTTCCATAGTACTGTCATGAAAGCAATATCAAGTGATGTCATTTTTTTGATAATATTTTGTGCTTCGTTTCGTGTATCTTTATTTACTTCCATATTTTCACTTAAATATTTTAAGCGACTTAATATAGTATCATAATTTTCACAAAGTACTTTTGTAGAATGTGCTCTAGCTGACCATCGTGTTTCACTTAGACTCTTCAAAGCTACAGTTCTCCCATCAATACTTTTTAAATCGCCACAAACTGTTTCCCAGCGATATGTAGAAGCTGAACAATTTTCAAGTGCATTGTTTCCAACTAAATTTAAGGAATGTGCAGTACATGGAATAAAATCCATATACTTGTTAGATTTCTTCAAATGCGCTTGTACTCCTTCAAACTTCCCAGACATATTTGAAGCGTTGTCATAAGATTGACCCCTTGCATCCAAAATATTCAAATCAAATTCTTCAAGTTTTTTCAAAATGGCTTGAGCAATATTTTTTCCAGAATGACCAACGGCAGGTTCAAAGCATATGAACCGTTCATGCACTTCTACAGAATCATTTATCTTGACGTATCTTAAAATAATAGCTACTTGATCAATATGAGAAGTGTCTCAAGATGAGTCAACTACTATGGAAAAATAGTTAGCACTTTTTACTTCTTTAGTTATCATCTTTAAAAGCTTATTTCAAATTATTAAAACACATTCTTCATAGATCGTTGAAGATAAGTAAGATTTTTTACCTCCACCTTTATTTGATTTTTCATTTAAGTGTTTAGCTATAAATGGGTCAAATTTCGATAAGTACTCAAGAGTAGCTAAAAAATTTCCATTTTGTTGATTACCGACATTTTCATTATCACCTCTTAATGCGAGACCTCTTTCACAAAGATATCTTAACATTTCAATTACTCTACGTAAAACTTCTCTTTAAAAATTAAACACCTATATTTAAATGGGTAATTTCAAACGAAGTAAAATGACCAGCGTCCGCAAGCTAAAATTAAACAGTGGATTTCCAATAGCCATATTCACACGAAGCGGTTCGTCCACCAACGGCCGCGAATTTATGGTGGTTTTTTCATTCATAACAGCATTCATAATCCGCCTCGTGTGTAAGCAAACAGGGAATGCGGACGCGGACGTGATAGCGGTCGAAATCCGCGTCCGCGCTCGGTGAATCCGCCTCGTGTGTAAGTTAAGTTTGGAAGCGGTCGCGGACACTGATGCGGATAGGAACCGCGAATGCGCTCTGCTAAACCGCAAAGTGTGTAGCCAGCTTATCGGTCAATTTAATTATAAATAGAACGACTCGCAATTACGATGACGCAGCAGTGCCGCACGCATAGGCGTATCTAGGGGGGCTTGGGGGCTTAGCCCCCAGAGCGAATATTAGCCCCCCAGAATTATTTGTATTATTTTTGCTTATTTTATAAAATTAAGATAGTTAAATATAAATTATTGTGCTTATTATATTGAACTTGTGACGAATGATAATACTAAAATGATCACTCTTGTAATTATTTATCGGCGATAATACTTAACATTACGGACTAAGATATAATGGACTGGAATCGATAAGGTGAGCGGGGTAGGGAGTAGAACTCGCAAATGCCTGGCGTTTTCATAGTGGTATGGAACCTTAACTGTTACTAGTGCGAATAGCAGTTTAATTTTAAACTATTGATTATCTACCATGGATCCATTGAGGCAAATTTAAAAATACTAAAAATAAATGGAATACAAATAATAATAACATAAAATTGTAAATAAACACATTTGAATGTTAAGTTAAACTATGGAAACAACTTGTTTATCTTATGAATTAAAAAATGAAAGTAAAAAAGTGTTCGGTTGAATGGTGTGTAAAGTGTAAGTACAAAACGCACACCAAACATTTCTTTTTTCGCTCCACCAAAAGCACTATATTTGCAATGGAAAGAAGCTATAAGCAATGCAAATTGTAATGAAACATTGGTGAAATTTGCATGTGCTGATCATTTTTTACACAAAGATATAATTTCTAATTATTCAGGTCCACAGTTCAGGGCTGCAGTTTGTATTTAATTAAATGCTTAATTTATTTATATAGGGTAACAATTATATCTTAGATTTACTCTTTGTTTAAAACCAATGTACCTACAGGATGTTGGATGTAGGATAAAATTCGGCCTGAAAAAAGGAACTATTCCAACTATTTTTAATTTGAAAAACAAAACTATAAGAGGAGGTAAGAGATTATTGTAAGATCACAATCATGCCAAATTGTATGACCAAAGATCATGCCGTAAGGAATTATTTGAAGAAAATATAAGTACAGCATATTATAAAATATAGATACCTATAATTTTAAGTTACAGATTATTAGATTAAAAAAAATAATCTAATAATTTGCATATACTTTTGTATTAATATATTAAATACTTGTGTACAAATTACTATGTATATCACTGATTTTTAATTATTATGATCATAATTTAAAAGGAACCTAAATCAATAATTCAACCACAAAATGTGTTACTAAATGAATTTGACTTGGATGGAGAGCCGCCCAATAAATGCATAAAATTATCTAAAGTAATATCTTTATTACTAACTTGGTTTTAATAAGATATTTAAATCATAATTTAAATTAATTTCAAAAAATATCGATATTAATTATTAGGTGGACAATGATGAATTATTGTCATTTGAAGCTCTTTTAATGAATTTTAAAAGAGTTAACTTACCTGAAGGATGGACTACATATTCAAGTAATAGGGAAATAGTATTTTATAAATCAAATTTTATTGATGGTCAATTAAAAATTGAAAAGCAATTAGTATTTAAAAATACTTTGGAAATTTGTTTTTACGTGTACCGATTATCTGTTGATATTGATCAACAGAGCGCTAAATTTGAATTTCCAGTAAATTTAAGAGATATATCAAGGTTTATTAATATAATTGACTACAAATAAATTTGTAGAGGTGGTCCAAACTTAATGAATTTTCCTGGTAGGTACCCAACGGATTTCATCTATCACACAATTGAAAATAATAAAATATATCTCATTCTGTTTGATTATATACCATTAAGGGATTTCTGTACGAACTGCAGTATTGGAAAACAATACACTATGAAGTCATATAAAATGTCCAATTATAATGGATAATATAAAAAAAAGATGTCAATCCTGTGATTCTTTGATTTGGTATTTCCACAAACGTAAATCAAGATTATCTAGAATGGAGATTCAGAAACCTTATATCAGAGGAACACTTACACCAAGAAAGCGTAGAGCTTTTAAAATAATTTTGAAGGATAGAAAAATATTGAAAAAACCCAATATTAGGTAACAGTTTAATATTTTAAATTATAAATGTTATGTTTACATAGGTACATTAATTAAGTATATTAGGTAAATGAATTAAATTATACTAAACACATTAAAAAGTGTAGGTACAGACTACAAATAGTTAAAGAAATTATTGCAACTAAGTTATTACTAATTAGGTAATTTATTCTATAATATATATCTAAATTTTAAATGTATGCTCAGACTGAGAACTATCATTGGCAAATTAAACTTTGATTTGGAAAAAGTGCAATAGAAAACCAAAATTTTATCTGATGCATCAATAAATGAGATAATGATTTCAAAAAATCTAAGTGCTCCTCAATCAGTTTTAATTAAAGAAATACTTAAAACTAGTAAAAATCCAAATAAAAAAAATAGACGATACTCTGAAGATTAGATTCTTTTATGTATTTTGTTAAAAACCCGGTAGGTTCAGAATATAATGATATATAAATTATATATAATATAATTTCTGAAATAAAATTATCCTAAAATAAATTAACCTTTTCTATAGCTCATCATCAACTTATGTATTTCTAAGAGAACAAGACATCTTACCTTTACCTTGTCCTCGCACAATAAGAAAGTATTTGTCACTAGTCAAAACAAAATGTGGTTTCGATGAATAATTTTTCAAAATATTAAAAAAAAAATTATAATGCTAAGAGAAGAGCAAAGGCGTGGTTTATTAGTATTTGATGAGATATTTCTACGTGAAAGCTTAAGTGTAGATTCTCAAAATTTAACGTATACCGGTTTGAAAGATTTTGGTGGTAAAGTGCCTACAACAGGGTTAAAAGCCAACCATGGATTGGTATTTTTATTTCAAAGTTTTGCTGCTAATTTCACCCAGCCTATTGCTGTGTTTGCATCAAAGCCATATGTTTATTAGAAAACGCTGACGCAAAAGTAGATGGTATTGTATCTGATGCTGATGCAAGTAACAGAAAACTATGGACTCAACTGGGAATTAGTGGAAGTAAAGATAAAATGAATAACAAATTTGACCATCCTTTAGATAACAAGAGACATATTTTTATGTTTTCTGATGGACCACACCTTATTAAAAATGTTAGAAATAGACTACATAACAAAAAAAGTTTACGGGCAAGTACCTATTTAATAATTAAAAGTAGTTAATATTTATAAGTAAAAATTATTGAATCGAACTATAAATTTATGAACTTGTTTTATTATTTATTGATGTGGAGGATGGAAGTGGATAAACAATATTATAATACATATGTTTTTGTACTGTTTTACATTTATTAGACAAAATCATCAGTTTATTAAATACGATTAAAAAACATCTTAGATACTGTGTCTGAAAAGAGCGATTGACCATACCACACGCATACCTCAGTCATAACCTTAAAGTTAGTATGATCGGTGGATGACAGTCGTCCGAAAAATGATAATAGTGGTTGTTCTCTGGTATAACAGCGGTTACACTGTGACCAACTTGTGGTGGTGTTGCACAGCAAGTCGAGGGATATTTTCAAATGAATAATAATATGATGTTTTTATAGTATTATAGAATCGTTTATAAATATCTTATAGATCTCTTGAAGGACGAAGAATTGTCGACATGCAACATTTATTTAAACAAATTCAAAATAGTCGGCATGATCGTTTCGGTTGTTCTTTTTTAGATATGGAATTTATAAGTGAAATTAGAAGAGGATACAGTTCAATATTTAAATATAATTGTAAAATTTGTGGTACAATATTAAATAAATCATCATGTATTATAATACAAGTAAATAATAACATTAAGATTAAATTTTACAATAAATTATCTACCTCCCTTAAGCACATGCTTGTGATGGAGGTAGAGAGTTACATTATATAATAATAATAATAATATACACAAATATATGTGGAGTTGAGTTGTCTACCAGAGAGCGGGTCGGTTCCTGATACAGCTAAGGTGGTGGGTGGGAGCTAAGCGTCAGTGTTGTTTTGACGTGCGAGTGTTCCGTTTGTCGTTAGTTGATTATATTATGTATTTTTGTATTTTGTCATTTGTACATCAATAAAAAGGTAATCCGTTACTAGTGTGCTGTTGATTATTTAAGTGTACATTTTTGGTGCCCAATCCCACATTTTTGGGGGCCTGTCCGGGATACGCTCCGATTTTTATACTTTAATAATCGCATGGTTGTGTTTTTGTACGTGATTCGAGTTTGAACCTAACCTCACATTTTTATCAAGTTTGGTTACGCAGATTATACCGCGGGTATTTTGTTGATATCATAGTGTGATAATTGATAATAGTGTTTACTAAATTGTTGTGATAATGCCGCGACCGCGAAAGAATGTGCGAGCGAGTCAAAGGCTTGAAGAAAGTGTTGGCGATCGTGTTGATGATCGTTTTCCGAATGGGCGTAGTGTTAGCGTTACATTCGCAGATGTACAGGACTCATTACGTTCATTCACCGGGGACGATAGTGGAAGTATTGTGAAATGGGTAGAGGATTTTGAAGATTTGGCAGATTTGTGTTCTTGGTCCGAACTACATAAGTTTTTATATGGCAAGCGACTGCTTCAGGGCACGGCCCTT